TTAATGGAACAGCACATTCTCCCGAACGGATCCAAAATCTTCTGTTTTGAGAATGAGCCAAAAATATAGTTTCATTCTAATCTGCTGTTATGAGGAGTGAATTTCATTGTATATACCTCACGAATCTTGCTTGTCTTCGAATTATTGATCCATCCAGGCCGTTTCATACATTCCTTCTATAGGAGAATGGTTGATATTTCCTTTGGAAAATTGAAAAATCAAATTCATTCTCTTCAGAATTGACACAATTCATGACACAGCAGGACGTATCCAATGATGGTTTTTTTTCGATAGTTATTATATTTTGATCCTGACGTTTATGGAATTTATTGTCAGATTCAAACAATTTGGAATGAAAAAGCGCGAAACGACTATGATGCTGTTGTCACAATGCAAGGTGTGTAACTTAATATATTTCAACATTCAAAAACACTAGCAGTAGTCATTTTTGTGTCCGGATACTTATCTAACTCATGCCATTCAGTGACTAACTGAAATATTGTGGCATGAGTTCCAAAGTTAAAGCACGTTTCAGTTTGTACCTAAGACTTTCAATCAATTGCATCAATATCCATTGAACTCAAAATACCGACTTCTCTCTAGAATATCGGACAAAATTTCAGTCATTTTCCCAAAGAGAGATGAGTTGGAATGGAAATCCGTATTATTATAAATATTGTGATATTGAATCACAAGATCCCTAAGGAGAAATTATACTGGTCTAATGAGGATCCATCCCACAACTCACTCAGCAATCCTGAGATATAAATTGTAACAACACGTGATGTCAACAGGACAGACTTTGTTGAGCCAAATGAGAACTCACCTTTGTTAATGGAATCACATACTCAGACAAATAAATTGTAATGAATACCAAACTTTTAGTAGAATAGGCGCCAGTCACCACATTCATCAAATAATACCACTACAAAGTTGTAGTATACTAAACTATGAGTATTATACTATTTTGTAGTGGTATTATTTGATATAGTATAGTATTATTCAATGTTGTAGTGGTATCATTTGATGAAAGACTGGCGCCTATTTTACTAAACGTTTGGTAATAACTATCATCTTTTTTTTTCAGTGCGAGTTGAGATTATTTTCATCAAACTACACTCACCGGCAAAAAAACCGGCATACATCCAAAATTTTTTCCAAATTGTTCACCCTGAAACTTTTTCAATCCTTTTTCGCTTCTCGAGAAATTTCGAGTGGAATTTCGATGAAACTGAAAATTCATGTTTCGTTATGTTAGTCTAAATGTTACCGTGGAAAGCTAATGACTTGATCAATATATAGGAAGAAACCAAAGTTACTATTCATCCTCTTACTACTCAACGCCCTGTGGCGAAATTGAGAGTGATTGAATTTGGCTTCTTTATCCTTTGGATTGGAGTGTGATCTCTCCCTAACACAGTTGTTTTTTATTCACTTTTATCTCATTTTCAAGAGATGATACGTGTTTCAAGCAAGTATAGCATTTTTCAATTTCCATGAACAATAATCCGAGAAGAATTTTGCTGAAGAATTCTAGTATACACTCATCATGTGGAATCACGAGGAATCGAGAGGCATTGGGAGGAATTAATGAGGAATTATAAGGACTTATACGGAATTCTCGGGAATTATGAGGAATTTTCAGGTATTTTGTGGGATTGCTAGAATTTTTTGGCATTTCAGGACGAATAGCTCATGCGTGAAGATTTCGATTACTTTACCTCTAGCGTTCAGTAAACTCTCAAGCTAGGAAGAGAAGATCACAGCATTCATGTGTATTATACATGTAATGAAGTTCCTGGAATAAAACCTGCATTTAATCATTTGGTATAAGAAGCCAGGCATATAGCAGCAGAGGCAGAAAAAAATATTCACTTTGGAATTAATTGGATCATTCGAATTGAAAGAGTCAATTTATCTCATTCCGAATCAAAAGGATTGGCTATTTCTTCTCCATTTTCTGCCTCGCAATAATAATGAATTCAGATGAATTGTAATTTGAGTAATTCGACCTATATCTGAGATATATAATAGGGGGGCAGTTTGAAGTGAGACACGTTGTATATGTAAATTTTTATGTTTCAACTCGGGAAACTATTATCCTCGCTATTATCGAAATCAATAACATACAACGTTTCGGTCGGAAATGCCGGTAATGGATAAAATAGCTAATGAAACATCCTGAATATCTCTCGAAATGAAGTTTCCCAGAAAAAACTGAAGAATGGAAGAAAATATTGGATGAACTAGGAAAACGCCAAATACTCGAAGTGGAATATGCAATGGTCACAAAGAGAGAGAAACTCAGAGTCAGTATCAGAATAGTTCATAAAATGTACAAAAATGGCAGATAACGAAAGAAAAACAACTACACTCCTGGTTATATGACAATTATAAAATTTAAAGAATTTCCCACACTTTGGAAAACATCAATATGCACACCAATACATAAATCTGAGGCCAAGATGGGCATAGAGAACTATAGGCCCATCTCAATCATGTGTTCCCCAGCAAAAGTATTCGAACAAATTTTACATAGCACACTGTATCAACATGTTGAAAAGTACATTGTACCACAGCAATATGGTTTTATGGCCAACAAATCAATCAATACAAATCTTTTCTTGAACAGTAATCATGTATATGAGACTTCTGAAAGGAAATTAGACACTTTTTTCTCAGATTTTCGGAAGGCATTCGAACAAGTTAACCAATATGTATTGTTAGATGAATTGAGTGAATACGGATTAGCACCGAATATTCTGAAATTGATAAAATCTTATTTAGGAAATGGATATTTCTTCGTCAAATATAATGGTAATACGTCCGGCAAGTTTAGGGCTAATTCAGGAGTACCGCAGGGATCTAGCCTGGGACCGTTGCTGTTAACACTGTTTATTAACGACTTGCCAGCCGTCCTGATGAATTCAGTCTGTCTTCTTTTTGCAGACGATCAAAAAATTTCTGAAGAAATTCAGACAGTAAGGAATTGAGTTGCTCTGCAAAAATACGTGGACAATATCCATAAATGGAGTATTGAAAATAAACTATTTTTCAACACAACTAAATGTGCCGTGCAAACTATAACTCGGTTAAAGGATCCAGTTGTATTCAGATATGAAATGAACAGTGAACATTTAGAAAGGAAGAAAGAGACCCGTGATCTAGGTGTGACTCACAATAATGGTTTTTCTTTTACTAACCATGTGGATAATATTGTTAAATCTGCGAATCGTATTTTGAGATATATTGTGAGACAGACTTCCAGATCTACGAATATACATACCATTGAAATGTTATATTATACTTAAGTCAGGCCAAAACTAGAATTTGCATCAGTAGTTTGGATGAATGAATCTCAAAACGCATTAAAAATAATTGAAAAGGTGCAAAATAAGTTACTAGGATACTTGTATTTCAAGGAATACCATGTTTGACCTGACTATTTGAAAGTTAGAACTACTGAACTCAGATCTCATTACAAAATAATATCTCTGGATCAGAGACCAAACCTCACAAGTATGTTGTTTTTGTATGAAATTATCAATAATACGATAGATTGTCCCGAAATTTTATCTCTAATTCCATTCAAAGTACCTATCTGTCGTATTCGTTCCTCCCCTATGTTTCAAATCTCCGTCAAGCAGTCAAGTAAATCCCCTCTTGTAAGCATGCTTCTACTAGCCAATCAATCTAATGTTCTGAATGTATTAGAGTAGTCAAAAACTCCAACTGCTTTCAGAAATGAAATATTTAATTCCATAATCCATATTGAGCATTTTTATTTAGTCCTCTACTTTTCTGGTAAACACCAAATAATATATACCTATTATATATTATCGACATAAGTAATTTTGGTATGGTCAACTTTGATATTTTTTTCTGAATCAGTGACATCAAATATTCAATTTCATTGTGTTATCCATGTAATTAGGCCAGTAGGCCTGTTTGGATGAATGAATAAATAAATGAATAAATAAATAGATGAATATCTAAGCAATTATTCGTATAAATGAATAAAATCGCAAGTGTTTCCTTCCTAAACGCCAAGCTACGCCTAAGTGGTGCAGGTAGTCACGAGTTCCTGTCACGCATAGTAAATAATGGGTAGAAACATATATCCTTCAATATACACTGGATAAGTATGCTATAAGATTAGTTTCACCAGAGGTAGAGTCTCCAAAATAAACATCAATATGTTTGATTCGATTTCTCGAATTCGAATTCTAATGTTTCATTTTTCAATATCAGAAACCCACTGAGCAAATTTAGAAGGTATGTCGATGCAAGGTTGTAGCAATTACTGAAACGGACGTTCAGCAGAATTGCAAATGTAAATTCGTAAATGTAACGTTCCAGCAATTTCACTGCAACTTCACCTTTGCAATATTGCTGAACGTCCGTTTCAGTTATTGCTTCATCATTGCATCAATATAGCTTTCAACTTTGCTCAGTGGGATGCGAATCATTATGGACATCGATGTGTTTCATCTCGGTAAACGATGCATACAGCCTTCTGATTTATACAGTCGCATTCAAAAAAAACGTACAAGTATATTACAGAGAGAAATTAACGCCATCCTATTCTGCATAAAACGGGCTATCGGGAATGATTGCTTACCAAATGTTGACAGTAAAGTTGTCATAGGTTCTCAAAAACACAAAGCATTGGCTGAGCCAGTTTAACACAACTAGAACTAGGATACAGAAATCCTCTCTTTTTAATACTTGTACGGTTCTTTATTGTATACGACTGTACATGTCAAACTGTGATTCTGAAATCCTCCACGTGCTTCAATGAACTAGTTTCTGCATAAGGGAATCAAATTTTGCATATGAGAAACAGTGCTGATATTAAAAGTGTTGAATTTTTGTGAATTCTACGAATTTCGCAGTATTTTTCCTGTCAGATTTTCAACTGATGTCTGTTGGAACCCTGTATATATTTCGAGAACATTTCACTTCCATGATTACTCTTAACAGTTCAACTGATTGCTTACCGTTGTTAGCATGCAAGTGCTTTCTTTTACAGCTCCACAACATCCTAGGAAAGCAGTGATGAAAACGATGGCACCAATGATTATTGATAATATTGGTGCTAGGCTGAAATCTGTAGGGAGGATGTTAGTTGCTTGACCAACGTTGAATTTCACCAAGATTCCGATGATGACGAATCCCAATCCGGCCAACTGGAAAAATAAAACAGAGGTATGATCGAGGGTATGATTATACAAGAAAACATTTCAATCGAGATTTGAATATAAAGAATATAGTTGATTCCGGTGTGACCTGTATTTGTTTTTCTCCTCGGTTATTCTCAAATGGGACACCCTGAATTCTCATTCATTCTCGGAGTTTATCCAATTTACATATACCTTATAGGTATTCACTATTCAGCTCTCGAGATGGAGGGTGTTGGCGTTAATGAAACATAAATATATATTTTTTCCTGAGACGGAAGAAGATTTCTAAATTTCATCTTTGTTGTCAACCACTAGATTTGCAATTTTTTGAAATCTAGGATCACAGAACTGGACTGACAGATATTAGATTACTTCAAAAGGATGATAAAGATACCTGCAACGCAGGTGTCATTCCTGTTGAAAATTCAAAATTTCACGTCGATAATTTTCTGATTTTAATATGTCTTCCCAATATCCATTCGTATTTTTCCCTGTTACAGAAAGAAGTAGTGTATTACACACAGTTTCAGGTCCACAACCTTGCGCTAAAATTCACTATTTTTTCCCTTGCATAATGGAAAACTTTTTTTGCAATATTTCAAGAACAGTTGAATTTTGCATATACAAATTTTGTAAATGGTTCCATCTTTGAGTAAGTAAATTTTTCACTATTGAGTTCATCCGGAGATTTTATCAAACGTTCAGTATAGAGTTGTCAGCTTCAGACGAGGTTAAAGAGACACGGCTGAATTCTTCTCCATTTCTTTAGGTGAATAATTTCTTCCTCGAAATCCCTTATTTCTGACGATGAATTAAATTTGGTTATTTCATCCAATGACACTCCGCAACATTTTGTGTATATGGTTCTGATATGAAATTGGAATCTTTCCACACATTTTCCCAATGAGGAAATCAGAAATATTTCATGGCGATCACAGTCGCCTGAGAATCATTTATATAAAATTATTTTTATTCCAAACTTCCGAAATCTCGACCCAATTTTATATAAATATACAGAGTAGGGTGTATCTAAATAACACCGAAAAAATACAAGGGGTTGTTTCCTTGTGAGATTCTAACAGATTAAGCTTATATACACTGAAAAAAAAAGGTAGTTATTACCCACCGTTTAGTGAAATAGGCGCCAGTCACAACTTTCATCAAATGATACCACTACAACATTATATAATACTATACAATATCAAATATTACCACTTCAAAATAGTATAATACTCATAGTTTAGTATTATATAATGTTGTAGTGGTATCATTTGATGAAAGTTGTGACTGTCGCCTATTTTACTAAACGTTTGGTAAAAACTACCTTTTTTTTTCAGTGTGAACATGTTTTCCAAATTTCCCTCCGTTTTGAAATACAGGATGTTGAAGTTGGAAGTATTGATTGTTTCCATTTATAACCCCCCTGTATAAGTCTCCATGGTGCCACAGTATGGATGGAGACTGAAGAAGCTTCAGAATTCCAAAATGATTTTAATTTGGGTTATTGAGTAATTTCAATGGAAGTCTTGGAAACACCTATATTGAAATTTGGAGTCAAATCGGATATTAATTGTTTCCTCAGGAATAAGGCTAGATACAAAAATTACACGTAGAATGAAGAAGTTGTTACTTCAATAGTTCGATCATGAAAATATGAAACTCAGGAAAACCAGTGGTAAACAATGGCATTCACCATGAATATCGATGAATTTAGCCACGGGTGACGCCACTGGAAATATCATTCCGAATCTAATTGTACTAGAAGAAGCTCAATGTCACTTTTAACAATACAACAAAGTTTTATTGGAATTGATAGAAAGATAATTGAGAAATTAATAGAAAAATATTGTTCATGGAAATATTAATACCCTTCATCTCGAAATACGAAAGCAAGTTAGGGCACCTGTTCACATGGACTTTATTTGCTGAAATATGACAAAGAATCACCCATTGATTTTCATGTTGTCATTCACATATACCCTGTATAAATGAAAGGAGTGATATATTTGGAAATCCAATGTTGAGGTCGTTCCTGGCGAAACCAGTATGAGCTACTGATGCAACGAATAATAAAATAATATGGAATAACATGATGAGAGGTGGGCTGAGTCCGAGGCTGAGTCCCATATTCAGGAAAATATCAATGAAAAAAGAAACACAGATATTCACGTAATCATCAGTTTAAGAAGGCGTCATTTGGTGTGACGACGGGATCTTGCGGGATGAGCGAAGCAAGTCGAACGAAAAATTATATAGTCACCTCGGCTAAAAAATGTCTTTTGTCTCGCCTGCTTGCTAGCCTCGGCTGGGCCACGACTATCAACTTGCAGGCTCGACTATAATAGACAGTTTTTTGTCCTAAATAACTACTTCTAGAAGGTATCAATTTTTCGGTATTGTTACTATATCAGCATTCGTCAAAATAACAATAAAAAAGTCAAAACATGAGATATTTTTGTTTATAAATATAAAAGCGTATGAACGGTTTCGCGAGATAACAGTGTCAAAATATTCACATATAATTCAGTTGGAGTGAGATTGATAAACCGCTCGTGAAAGATAATATTATTATTGAATGATAATATGTATATCATTTGATACTTCGATTTACCATCATATTGATTTATTTTTATGTGTTGTATAATGTTTATGTGCATGTCTAACAGTTGTTAATATCCACGGATTTCTGGAATGAATATAATAGTTTACCAAGTAGTTCACATTTTATAATTCAACCTCAAATTCAAACAATCCATATACATTGTATCTATTCATTGAATACTGAATTGGAAGTATGCGTTTGCTATATAATAATATATTATACCTCCCGATACACTTCCTTAGGCAAAAAAGTATGTTAATTCACTTCCACGGGAGAAAAACAATATTGGATACAATCATGATACATCCATATTAATAAGATCAGTGCAATCCAAGTTATCATTGTGTATAGAAAAATTACAATTTATTTTTGGAGCTTCGACACTGTTCGAGTACTCATTCTTTTCAGAAATGAATAGCCTAAGATGAGATAGTTACAGGTTGGAAAAAATCTGATTTTCTTTTTCTTCAGCGGTTTTTGTAAATTACAATACTTTGGTAGAATCCGCCATTTTGTTTCTGTTCATTATGAAATTTTCAAATTTTTCACTGTATATTATAGCCCTTTAGCTATGAAACGACGCCAAGAAATTCTAATTCGGTTGAGAAATGATGAAACAATGAGGAAAATAAAAACTTCCGGTTTTTTGTGACCACCCGATATTATATTAGACTTCACACGCGGCAGGAGATGCTCCCTTGATAGATATTCATGATTTTTATGATGTCACAAGGTATGGAAATAATTACTCAGCACCTTGATAAGAGAAAGCTTATACAATGGGCCTACTTTCCTTATTGAATGGGTGTCACGTGTTGATGTTGAGTAAAACAAATCATTGTCTATCGTAGAGTATGGACGCCATGTTTGAGGTTGTCTGTATTTGAGCACAAAGCAACCTAACATCTATTATTTATGAGAATTATTATGAAGCGCTTATTCAAAGCAGATAGACAGCACGCAATGGAATACAATGAAGGATGATGATGCCAGCTTCCTATTGATACCTCGACCATGGCCATAATTATTAGAATTGACATCACCTCCAGCGTTGCCACAGCTCACTCGACTCAGTGAGATCTTGCTCGTCAATGATATTTTTTCGGAGTTCAATTATATTCGCAAAGATGATATGACTTAAGCAATGAAAATCTTTCTACCGACTTCCTACCGAGCATTTGACCAGAAAACCTTGGAAACTAAAGTCTCTTCAAAGATCAGTTCAGCTATTTCTTCATGAGTAAAAACTAGTGAAGAGGTCGATGTTGCATTCGCCACCGACCTCATTGGTCATCATCAAAGATACTAATGGTCGGTTGCATAGACCTTTCTGGATAATATAAGAAGAAACGTAAAAAAAATCGAAAAATGAAAAGTATTTTGATATCTATGAAAAATAAAAACAGATTGAAGAAAGAAGTAAAAAAATATATAAATAATAATTATGATCTATTCAAACAACTATTTGACTAAGTGTCCTTTATTCCTCAAATAAATATATAATATATCAATGTGTAAACAGAATATATAAATGAATTCTCCGAAACGCTGTTTATCACCTACTTTCATTGATGTTATTATCATCGTAGGTATTACTATTATTATTTTAGTTTGTAATTGATACTATTATTGTCGTTATCATTATTATTGCTTTGTTATTATTACTATTATAACTATTATCGTTATATAGGATGTTCACAACACAAGCATTGCTTAGGCGACTTCCTATATAGATTGTTAACTGAATTTACCTGAATAAAGCTATGTATGTATGTATGTATGTATCTATTCAGGTATATCAGCAACAAATTGATATGTTGTGGGATATCCATATATTTCATTAACAAAATTTCGTTCTTTGAGTTAATATCTCGCTCGTTTTGGGGTATTTCCGGATTGATCCATGAGTTCGGGAAAATCAACAGGATTGCATCAATATTCTTCTAATCCTAAACCAGAGGAATAGATTAACGGTAAATCATTTCATATTATGGACCTCTAACGAAAGGGGAATCATTATCACGTACTTGAAATCTCCCTTGGGATATATCGTGCGTACCAAGAATACCGATATAGAAAGATAAGTTAGGTAATACGATAATTTTCAACTTTTGCAAGTTATGAGTTTTTGGGAATTATTTCCCGATCCCTATATAGATGGACGGGTTTTGGTAGAGAGTTTTTCGCAGTATCTCGAGGTTGACGAAAATATAATGTACTGACTGAGCTTATCGGGTTCGTAAGTTGTCAACCTGACTGGTAATGCTACTGATGAAACTATAGCCGAACTTTCTGCTTATCATTTTTCGTGGATATATCAAGTGGAAAGTGTAAGGTGGCTGATTTTCCGACAGACTTCCAATAATGACCAGCAATTAGTTAGGGAAGCATCACCAGAAAACTA